ATAGTAGAGCACAGGTTGTGAAGCGATGGCAACACTGCGATACTCAGTGTAATGGGCGGGCATTGAGTCCGAAGTGTTTCCGTTTGTGTGAATACGGCAACTGATGCCTCACTTATTGCGCACTCAGTCTCTCGTTTCGCCATTTCTGTCGACTCTCTATTCAAACTGTTTGTCAAATCGCTTTACAATTGTGTTTTTGATTGCAATTAACGCTTATTTGTATCCATTGTGTGCTAATAGTGTGCTTATAGTGTGCGACAAAGTCTTTAGTGACAAATATCGGAGTGAATTGAATTAAAAGTGAAATAAAAGTGTAGTAAAAGTGTTGGCAAAGAGTGTAACGGTTTGAGAGCCAACACAACACAAGTGTTTTGAAAAGCATTGCAAACATAGCATTGGTTTGAATGCGAGAGCGATGGCCTCAATAGCAACGCATCGAAAGCAGAAACGCAAAGACAAACAGACGGCTGAGCCGTCACTCCCTGTCCCTCAACCGCACAGTTCACCCAAAAAAGCCAAACTCGAAGACAAATCTCAAGACTTAGCTCTCAGTATGCATTCAATGATCACTATTTGTCCCATAAATAGCATTTGAAACGAAATTTACGTTTCTTTTCATATTTATTTGGTTTGAAATATGTTTTAAAACAAATATTTTTCGCATTTATTATAACTTTTTTGCTTTAATTTCCGTTTAGTTGAACTTTACGTGAATATAGGCCCAGCATTTAGCCATACATTTCCCTCTCTATCATTAGATATAAGTTATAATTAAAAAAAAATAATTAAAATATGTTTTCATAGTTTTAGTGTTAATGAGAAAAGTTTTTGAAACAACTTTTTGCTTAAACCCACTGAACAGATGAGAAGGCTGTGGCCGTTAATAACAGTAACGCCACTCTTGGATGGCCTACCGATGACTTGAATACTTTGATCAACAATTTGGGCAAATGTCTGCCGAAGAATGATTCGGCGAAGTTCTCGACACTCATAGAGAAGCTGGACTGGGAGAAGGTCCGCTTCGGCACCTATTCGGCACAGGAGTGCAAAGACAAGTGGTTTGAAGTGATGAACAGAGTATGTCTGCCATTCATTATCCTCTTGAGGCCTACCTCTTGAGTGCTTTAATTGTTATTACGGTTAAAATTAATACTCTTGCGCTCTATTGTACGGATGTCTAGACTATAGGTGTTTATTGCAGTCTACCTGTTGCTGATGTCATACATGTGTTGTCATTCCCTTCTAACACCTAATCATAAGTTTAAAAGCGATTAAAATATAACTTATTATTAAATAAAGGAGAGAAGAATCCATTAATCATACTCTTGTGTTGAACTGACATTTGCTTCATTGAACTTTTGCATTGATGTCAGCGTTTATCTTATCATTCATTTCACTCTTTGAGTCAATTTTTCATTCAAATTACTCTAAAGTGTAGAAACTTTATTATAAAGTTTTTTATTCTTGATTAAACATGATTTGCACTAATATTAGGACCGATTATAAGTTAATACATTTATTTGCGACAACAGTTGCGTCGATACCGAACACTGACAGACATGGTGTCGGACGCTCGGGTGTGGTTGAAGGCCCCCTGGCAGACCTACAATAACGCCAAGAAAGTCAAACACCCGGACCTCCCAAAGAAACCATTGACTCCATTCTTCCGCTACTTCATGGAGAAGAGGGTGAAGTCAGGCAAATCACATCCCGGCTCGAGTGTCACCGATTTGGCCAAACTGTTGTCCTCGAAGTTCGCGGCACTCAATGACCGCAAGAAACAGAAATACAAAGACGCTTACGATAGAGAGTACAACGAATACAAACTGAAACTCCAGAAGTTCAAAGTGGATCACCCGGAGGTGGAGTTTGGCACAATGAGTAAGACTCAGGCATCTCATGGTCACGCACAGGAGGGTCCGCCCAAACCTAAAACGCCGGTCCAGTTGTTTATGGAGGAGAAGACCAAGAAAATCGCGCCAAACAGTGAGGGACGCAAAGAGGCGATGGATCGCATCAAACACTCGTGGAGTCAGTTGAGTGAAGGCAAGCGCATCAAATGGATCCGGCGCTCACTCGCCGACGAACAGAGGTATGAGTTGGCGATCTTGGAGTACCTGAAAGAGCACCCGAGCTTTGAGCCAAACCGCGCCAAATCTATTCTCACCAAAAACGAGAAGGAATTGAAAGACAAATTCGATGGCAAACCCGAACGGCCGCCCAATTCGGGGTACAGTCTGTTCTCGAAGATAATGTTAAGGGAACTGAAAAACGTGGCCTCAAAGGAGAAAATGGTTGTAATCGCCAAACGATGGAAAGAGCTCTCGGAGTCGGAAAGACAGGGCTATAACAGAGAGGCGCAGAAAGCAAACACCAAATATGTGGAGAAGTTTAATGCATACTTGGATTCGTTGCCGGAATCAGAAAAGGCAAAGATTTTGAGCGAAAATAAACTGAAACTTCCGTCCGAGAAGAAACTCAAACAACAACAAAATCTGCCCAAACTTCAGACACCCGAACAGGTCGAGGATCCCATCGCCAGAGAGACCGCGGCGGTCATGAACTACCAGATCGATAGAGTGCCTGCCCTTCAGGCCAAATATCCCGAGAAGAACAGACAGGATATCATTAAACTGACTCTTCAGGAGTGGAACACCAAACTGAACGACAAGAAGAAGATGAAGTATTACAAACAGGTTGAAAATGTCGCTCAATTCATGCCATCGACCAAATCGGAAGCTTTCAATCCATCCAAAGCATCGCAAGGCAAAGAAAAGCCGTCGCCATCCGCTCAGGCGCTCCTCAAACGCGAACCCAAACGGCCCCCGAAGAGCGGATACGCACTCTTCACTTCGGAACTGCTGTCCACTCTTATAAACATTGAACCCAAGAAGCGAATGCAAGAAATCGCCAGAAAGTGGAACCAAGAGATCACGAAATCCCAAAAAGACAATTACGATACGAGAGTTAAACAAATGGCTGTCGACTATCAGAAGGAATTGACCAAATTTACGGCGGTTTGTATTGAATGAATGCTTTGAGTTATACCGTACATAGAGTTCTTATATTCTGTTTGTTTGCAGACTTTGAATGCATCGGAATTACAAGAATATCAGTCCATTCAGAGCGCAAAGGGCAAGAGGGGAAAGGGCAAGAAGTCCGGTCCGGCAGACCCAGTGGTGGACGACTCGAATGTGATCGAGACAATCGATGTCTCCACCTCTGGAAACCAATCCAACAACTCTTCTGATGAATCGGACGACTCAGACAATGAGGACGAAGAGGTATGTCGTGAATGACTGTTCTATTGGTTTCTAATGAACTATTCATTTGTCTTCAACTAAAGGCTGAAGAAGAAGAGAACGAAGAGCAGGAGGAAGAGGAAAGTGATGACAACGACAGCGAAGAAGAGAGTGAGGAGGAGGAGGAAGACGACGAGGAAGAGGCCAATGATAGCGAAGAGTCGAGCGATTAGTTGGCGGACATATAGGACACTATTATCTTCTTTCACGAAAACTTTATTTTTGATCACATATTCATTCCGTTGCTCTAAAAAGACATAACTTTTAAAACAGTATTTCTTTTATAACACTTAACTATCGCATCGTTTCTTATATCAGATTTTATTGAAATCTTTAATATATTTTTCATAATTTTGCAGTCAATGAGAGTATGTTCGCTAATAATTGGCTGTCAAATATCATTCATTCGTTACAAATGCTGTCAAATTAAAAGTTAAACTCAAAAAAGTTTTTAAGTCTCCAATCATTAAGTTGTCGATTGAGTGCAATAGAGGGCGCAATGCATGTCATTGTGTGCCTAACGTTCAAAAGCCGCACATTTCTAAAAGCGTGCATTTGTTCAGTGAATCAGTGCTGAAGCGAACCATTGGTGCGGCGTTTGTGTACACTATCTGTCGGTTCAGCCGTTGATCTGATTTACGGCACTATTAATGGCTATTATGTGGTGATTGAGTGGACATCATGTGTGGGACACGAGTTGATTACAATCACTACACATATACTGATTGCTCTTTGCATGCAAATAGTGATGATTAGATCTAGTGGTCAGTGGCTGTTGCAGCAGATATTGCTGTCAAGTGCTATCGTATTGACCACTTAATTGTCCGCTAATTGTATGAATATTGTGACCAATTAGTGACAAATGGGATCTCCTTTTAGTTGTCATTCATTATGATTGTCTGAATTGCGGACCAAATGATGGAATTCTTGAGACCAAAACCAGTCAAACGAAGACCCGTTCGGACAAAAGACCGCAAAACAAGTGACAAGACATCAGACATGCGTTCAATTTTCGACAAAATCCGCGATTTATGTCGAACTCCGGAACCAGTGGTCACTCGAATCGAGGAATCGGTGTTTGTCTCGAATTTGTTCCGTGAGATCAAAGAGTTGTGCCGAAGACCCGACTTATTGTCACCCATTGAGGAGCCGTTGGAATGGAGCGAAGACTCGCACAAAGACACAGAAGTGGACCAACCGGTGGTCGTCGAGGAGAAGGTGTACAAGAAGTCACGGAAGCAATACTACTCGGACTCGAGTGCCACCAATGATTCATTTGATTTGATTAAAGCCACGAAAATCTTTGCGGAACTGATTAAACGAAAACAGGCCTTAAGTGGTGACAACAGTGCTGTTATGACTGCAAACAGTGGTACCACTGATAAGGTGTGTGAAAGTGATAACAAAACTAAATGTAAATCCAATAGAAAGCGATCGACTGTTAAGTGTTGTGCAAAAAGTGGTCGAAAGCCATTGAAACCCAATTTGAGTATTGAATGCGATATCACCTCAAAAATCACTAAATATTCAATGATTTACTCAAAACCTAAACTTAAGAATAATAAGAAAAGTTCACCAAAGAGTGAAAGCCTTTCGCAGCAAACGATTGACTCAACAATTAGTGAATCCAATGGACTTACGGATTGCTCGTATGAGTCGATAGCGAGTCCGTCGGTGAGCACGTGTGCGACCAACTCGTACTCAATGCCGGCCACTCCTATCAGTTCAGACAGCAGTTGTATCAGTCAGTCGTCGTACTCGTCGGTCAGCAGCGCTTCCACACAATCCCTGTTGAGACAAATCAGGAATAGTTTGAATTCTAAGCATAAATACGAGACTTATGGCCAATACGTTGAAAAGTGTGACCAAAACAAGTCTAAACCCAAAACGTGTAAAAGAGTTAAGAAACCAGACATTGATTACAAGCAGAAAGTACTCGAATGGAAAGCAAACGGCTTGTGTTCCGGCAATTCAACGCCCGTTCATAACATTGAGTATTTAGTGACCCCTCCCGGCAGTCCTAAACCCATTCACTACAAACACAATGCCATCGAAAACGACGACTTCACTGATTTGATGAATAGTTTACAAAATGATAATTTCATTGAAAACGACGATAACTTTAATTATGAATTTAATTCTCTTTTATCGGAATTGTATTCAGACCTCAACTCACCATCAGATACGACATGTAATGATAATGAAGTGACAGCTAATTTGTCGGTCACTTAATTATGTTCTCAATCTAATGAACACATTATGCAGACATTGAATGGTTAACTGAAACAAAGTTGTTATCTTATATACAGTACATTATTGAATTGATTTATTTATTCTCACATTACATATACTGTATTACTAAACATTCATTTCATAAAATGTAATTCCAGTAAATACAGTACCAGTATATGGAAACTGTAGCCTATATCCAAAAATCATAAACTGGATCTATTTTGAATGCTTGAGACTACTTTATGATATCTATCGCCATTGCATCTTTTGGTATAGATTACTGGTTAGTTAATTTATAATTATAAAATGTTTAAACACGTTTACCATACTAGATATTTCAGTTTTATTTTTGAATACAATGGTTAGATTGTTTAATTTAAAAGCAACTTATAAATTGATCAATTTATATTTTGTATATACCGTATACTGTATATTTAAATGCAATTTTGTGAATCAATGGTTAATAATCATAATCAACACCAATAGCTGTGACTATTTAATTTGTTAAAATTGATCAATTTTAATTTGTATACCGTATATACTGTATTTTCCCAATAATTAATTTGAATAATGCTAGTTTTCTGTTTGCATTATCGGAATATTTTTGTAAGCTAGTCAATACTTAAATCATTGTATTTTCAACACATGTAAATAGAAATTCTTGTAATTTAAACGACTAATATTTATTTGTATAATAATTATAAATACAAAATGAATACATAATAGACTAATAATTAATGACTGAATTGCGAAACAATTAATTGCTTGATGAATCTTCTTCTCTCAAATTCTTGCGATCACTTTCATCTAAATTCTGTGGAAATGCGATTCTATAGGTCGGGTGTTCGTGCGGGGGTTTAACCCATTCCGTGTCCCGCAATGGTTTGGGTCGCCGGTGACCATCGGGGTAAGGGAGGGGCATATTGAGCGGTTGCACCGACTCGTGAATTCGGGGCCATTTTGGTCGGTCTAAGTCGGCGTTGTTGTCGAACGGCTCGATCGCTGAGTGGGGTCTGAGTCCGCGATAAATGCCTATTTTGCCCCTCTTTTTGATGACCGATGCCCTCACCCATGAGGGCATATCCCGCGGGAAGGGATGTATATTCGGAAGCCGAGGCTTATCGAACTCCTTCTCATAGTCGTATGGATTCACTGATTTCAAGCGCTCTAATAAGACATCTTTAGCCATCTCTTTAGGATCTCTGAAATTGTCTAAATATCTGTCGAGAAAAACAAATTAATACACAAAA